AGGGCTCATTTGATGAATGAATAGCTCATAACAGCTAACTGTTCGAGGAGGAGATGGTGGAGCACCAAGTTGTGGAAAATAGGCTCTCAACCACAATTGAGCAAGCCAAGGGGCCCACTACCAGTGGGAGACGCACCATTCTTTAATTGGAGTTGGAGGAAAGTCATGCCTATATAAAAGGCTGCTAAAAAGAATGAACACATATTCAAAGACTTGTCACGTGCTAATTCATACAATAGAGACAGATAACTCAATGAGGGTTTCAGACTGGGGACACAAAAAACATATTTACAGAGCCAGACCTGAAGGAAGGTAACACGCTCAGCATGAGTAGGCTCAAAATTGGAAGCAGTATAAGGGCCTTGCATGCTTGAATAAGATTCGGCAATTTTCTTGTCAAATTGTGGGGCAATACTGGAAATCAAAATACCAGGAAAGATAGTATTGCCTGAAGGCGGAAGATTCACTAGGGTTCCAACATCCTTTAGAGTAATGGACATTGGGCCAAGAGGAAAAATAAAAGTTTTATACTCAGAAGACCAGAAACTCAAGATAATTGGGAAAAGCACTAGGTCAAAAGTTGGGAAAATGGGTAATTTTTAATAGGTCCAAAATCTTGGCACCACTAAAATTGCTTTGGTGGGACCATAATTTACCACACGTGCATGCCATCTACGAAAACTAGGATCAATTTTTGGCCATGTACGGATACCTTGATTGCAGATTGGCTTCAATGGCAGAGAGTTCAGAAATGGAAGGTCTTCAGTGCAAGGAACAGCTGGCCCACCGCCACTTGTTCAACAGTTTCGGCATTATTGAATGATAGACCAAAATAGAATTCATTGAGGTCAGCATTGGCTTGTGCAATGAAGTTTGGATTTACATATGGCTTGGTAAGGATTTTCCAAAAATTTTTGAAACTAAAAGCATCATCAGATTGAGTTTGTGAAGTCGTCATTGAGTGCAAAGTACAGTCTTGTTAAGGCTTACCTAAGAAACGTAGTAGAGAAACAAGAAAATGAACGGTAAAATAGTGAGGAAGAAGCGCGAAATATAGAGACGTGGTTTAGTGGTGCGATGAAATTGCGTGTCTTTTGGGTTTATAAGGGTTTATAACGTTACACCTTTTTAGACTATAGAATGAAATAATGATTGAAATTCTCGGGAATTTCAAATGTTGCCTGGAAAATACAAGGTGAATATGGCAAAGATTAATACTTAGTATTAAATATGTCATATTGGGTGTAATTGTTGACACATTAAAAGTGCAGTCCAAATTAAATAGCTCAAAGAGTGAGGCCCAATTGGGGAGTCCAAGATAAAAGCTCAAATAAGATTATTGGTGAACGTAGAGGAAGCCCACGAACACAGTAACATCATCGCCCAAGCTTGCAAGGCGTCCGAATATGAGCGAATGGAGTGTCTTACGATCGCCCACAGCGATGACCTCGTTCTCGCCCAAACCTTCGAATCCCCAAAAATCTTAACAAACATGAGATATTATGGTCATAATAGCAGTTATTGAAACAGTTATCGAGCAGACTTATCACATTCCATGATTCAAGGAGCCCATTTGAAGGCGGTTGAACGACAAAGAGTAATGACAACAGTTAGAGATGACAGTTCCACGACAAGTTAGCTACCATGAAGAAAGTGGGTAGTTATAAAGTAATCAAGTAGTTTCCAAACGGTTTGTCACGAAAAAGTCATCATGGGAATATAAACAGGAAGAGAAGACATAGAGAAAGACCCGCGAATCAAACACTCTCAAATAGAGAATATGTAATTTCAGTTTCTTAGATTAACTTGAATTATCCCTTTTTAGTACTCGTGTGCTTGCGCCCCTTGGAGGTATTCTGTTTATTTCCAACTGTAACTCTCATCAATAAAGCACCCCTTTTTGGGATTTTGTCTCAAAAGGTTTGTCCCTTATACAATCGTCTGAATTTTTTTTAATTGTTAGCGACTACCCACGCGAAACAGATAAACTATCTAAGGAAATTATGAGATGCATATCTTCGATTTACTCTAAATTGGCCAATGCAACACCAACTTAGAAATGCCATTCAGTTTCTTCAACTTCATCATCCTGCTTCTCTAGCACATTTTCTCCAGGAAATCTTTCTCGCAATTGGAGTCCTCAATGTAATTATGAAGTTATAAACCATTAGGATTTTGACGGCCTACAACAAGAGAATGGACCATTAGTCTGGATTCTATCTCATTTATCAAAGATGTCTTCAGAGAATCTCTGTTGCTCCTCTGCAAGACTTTTGCAAGGGTGAGTGGTAACGAAAAATTAAATACAATTAATACAAAATAGTCATATCAAGAATAAAAAATATAAAAAGAAAATAAGAAAAATTAGGTTCATTCAAATCAATTTATAAATATCTTTCATGTTTACAAATTATTCTCTCTCAAATTTACATATATTTATTTTTTGTTTGAGTCCTATTTTTTGTCCAAAATATATTTTGAAATAGTATTTTGATGGATAATGTATATTTAGAAAATAAAGAAAAATTTTGAATTTGTGTGATATTATTGTAGGGGAATTTATAAAAATGGCCAATTTCATGCTTGTCAATTGAAAAATGTCTAATTTTGATAACTCTTGCAAAAATGGCCAAATTTGGTACCAAATTGTCATTATACTCTCAATGAAAAATAAAGCAATTTTTTTCAATTTGTCACGAATTTCGAAAAGAACAAGTAGCTTTTATGAGAAGCTACATTAATACTAGCCAGTGTTCTAAAAGGCGCGAAAATGCGCCGCCTAGGCGCGATGCGCGGATCAAACGCGTCGAATTGGTGCAATGCGCGGAAAATGCGTTTTTGACGTTTTTTGTTCGAAAATTCGCGCGCCTAGGCGCGCATTTGTACGCATTAGCCCGCATTAGCGCGCCTAGGCGGCGCATTTTAGAACAAAATTTTTTTTTTTTTGGTAAAAAAAAATTTTTTTTTATATAAAAATATATTTAATGCCTTAAAAATATGAAACGCATTATGCCGCTTATTCTTTGCATTGACACGCCTAAACTTGTGATTTTTGATTCTCGACCTCGACGCTTCGCTACGCATTACGCATTTTAGAACACTGATACTAGCTAATACATAATGCATTAATTTGTTTTTATATTTATTAGGTATTGCCAAGAATTTTGGAAAAAAATAAGAAAATGAAATAAAAAAGTCATTAAAACTAAAAAATAATTATATACTTCCAATTCATAAGAAAATCATATAGTTGATTAGATTTTCCACAATTCTCAATAGAAGGTAATTTTTCTTTAAAATTTTATTTTTTTCTGTGTTGTGTTTAATAGTTGTTATTTTTGACATTTCATAACGTTCTCGACATTTTAAAAGCTATTATCAACATTTGGACCATGTTTATCTTGATATTTGACACTTCATTTGTTTAGAACGAGATTTCGTTCTAAACTTGGGAGTTCTCTACATTTTTTAAATAAGTAGTATAAGTTATGTGTCAAGTTATTATTGATCAATACGATTTTTTATTATATAAATAATTTTGTCTTCATGGTGAAATTTCAAATTGTTAATGAGGACATTTTATATTATAGTAAAATGGATATTGAAGAAGTTTTGGATATTTTTGTAAATGACTATGTAAAAGTAGACATTTTTACAATTTTTTTATTATTTTATTGAAGGATGTGTGGTTAAGGATAATTGAGAAAATGTATTTTACAAATATTGGGACCAGACAAGGAACAATTTTCGGACACGTGGATAGCTGCTCGTTAAATGGATGCAAACCTATTTATAATCCAGTCTTTATTCTTCATTTCTGTTCCGGCTGCTCTCTCCTCTCCCCTCTCTCTCTCCAGAATTCTCCCTCACAAACCCTACACCCTAATTAATCCAAGATTTTTCAAAAAAAAAAAAAAAAAAAACTTCCTTTTTTTCTCTAAAACTTTAATTTTCCAGAGATGGCCAGTTCTACGACCAGCAATGTTTATGCCCACGTCATTGAGGACGTCATCAACAAGTGCCGCGATGAGTTCATCGACAATGGTGGTACTGGCGACAACGTTCTCAATGAACTCCAAGCAGTAATTATTTTTTTACTTTGATTTAATTCCTAATAATTTTTTTTGTCTGGAGGAATAATTTTGTTGCTTCTTTGTTGTTTTTGGGTCTTTTTTAGAATGTCCTGAATTTTGTGTATTGTGTAAAAATGGGTTTTTTTTGGGTAATTCGATTTGTGGTTTTAATGTGATTTAAGTTGGGTTTTTGTAAGTCTTGGATCGGTTGAGGTGGAATTTCACAGTTGATGGTGTGTTTGTTGGTGGATTTTATAGTTATGGGAGTCGAAGATGATACAAGCAGGGGCAATTTTGGGCCCCATAGACAGGTCTGCAACCCAGAAGCCCTCACATGGGGGTCCCATTCCTCCTAACCCTGTGCATGACCTCAACGTGCCCTATGAAGGCACAGAGGAGTACGAAACTCCCACTGCTGATTTACTTTTTCCTCCGGTGAGCCATCAGTTTTTCCATTTCATGCTGTGGTAATGTGAAAATTTATGTTAAAGATGAAATTCTCTTAGATATAATAATTAACTAAAGAAATTTCTTGTTTGGTGCACATAGACGCCATTACAGACGCCATTGCCAGGGACAGCACAGACTCCGTTACCTGGAACTGCCCAGACTCCGTTGCCTGGAACAGCCCAGACTCCTTTTACTGGAATGTCCGACAGCAGCTCGTTGTATAACATTCATACTGGTGGAACCCCAATAACCCCAAATGAGTATTCATCTGTAAATCACACTAGTGGGGTTCCCGACATGAGAGCTGGATCTGCAAGACCCAGCCCATATATGGTACAATCTTTTGCAGTATCTTTTCGTTGGCCTTTTTTTTGTGGATATGACTTATTTGGAATTGCAAGTTGAGGAATTTTGTTTCTTAGATATTTTCGTCTACCCATCCTTTAAATCTGCATATCGGTTTAAACCTGGTGGTTTTAATAGTGAATTGAATGTATTAGACCTTTATTTTGGAATTAGATGATGAATGTATAATGTAAATTTTCTTTTTTTCACGGTGGGTGGTAGAAGTTAATTTTTTTCTTTTACTCATTCTGCAGGAACCTTCGCCTTGGTTGAATCAAAAGCCTCCTCTTGATGTGAATGTCGGTAAGTATCATGGGAGAAGAGCTTTATAAATAAGTATCAATAAAATGTCCAATTAAACACAAAAGTGGGTAACATAGTTTTAACGATTTCTTTTCTTTTCTTTTTTTTCCCCTTCTAAACATTAATCGTTATTTGCAGCTTATGTGGAAGGCCGGGAAGAGGGTGAGAGGAGAGCCACTCATCTTCCTTCGACACAGGTGACTATTATTCATGGTTCAGGTTGACATTCATTGAGTTACTAGTATTTTATACAAAAAGGACTGTAGTGCATTTGTTGCACTAATATAATCTCTCAATTGCAAGAGATCGATGAAGATATATGTTTTCTGTTTCCTTAGATGCTTTTTGTTCTTTTCTAAACGAACTTTTTAACTCGCATGTAACAAATGAATACATATTTGAGGAAAGGTTATCCAAACTAGGTACAGAATATGTAAATGCAATTTAGAGAAGTGTTGTTTGATCTCCATCTGACCATCTCCTAGCTTGGCTCTAATTACTTAAGTTTGTTAAGGTAATGCAAACTCTGCAATCACTTCCAGTGAAGAGGAAAAGGGGAAAACAACATAATGTGAGATATGTCAATTCGGTTCATAGTATTAAAAAACTGAAATTATTGGTTGGCTGAATGCTCATTAAAAGTTAGTATGGAATTTCTCCCATATTACAGAGGGTAACTGATGCTATGCAATGACAAATCTTGTAGCTAAATTGAATTTTGTGTTGCACCATACTAGTTGATATTATTGTCCGAAGTGTTATAATTCAAGCAAACTTGTAAATAGGATACTTGTTAAAGAGGTGTTGTTCTGCACGGTTGGCAAGTATCATTTTGCAATAAGATAGATGAAAACCTAGTGGCTTTCAAAGCATTTAGGAAAGTGAGAGTGTTCACTGCTGTTGCTTTGCAGTTACCAATCTTCCTGTATAATGGAAAACCTTGAGATAATTTCATCAGATGACAATTTTTAGATGTACATCGCCAAAAGAAAGTTATATAAATAATTTGGTCCATTGAGAAATTGAGACGTCTGACTCAAAAAGGGATAAGACGAAGAATAGAGAAATTGAAATGCACGTGAGAGAGATTGAGAAAGACCTGTGTGGCAAGTAGGGAGCTTATTTCATTTCATCTCTTGTTCAAAGTGCTCCTTTTGCTTTCATTTCTCATAGTGAAAGCTTTAGCTTTTTGATGTGGCACTTTCTAAAACAACCTCCTCCCTCGATGATGGAGGCAATAAAATTCTTTCCTTTTTCTGGCTTGTGAAAAAACTTCATTAAGAACGTGTTTGATTGCAAGTATGGAATTTGCATGGAAAGAAAATAAATTATAGGCAATTCAATTGCCTATAACTTATTTGTATGAAAATTATTAATTAAATATGTTTGATTGATTTAGTTTTTAACCTACAAAATATTATGTTTGTTCATTTTTTATTGGTGGGTAAATGAAAGAGGGGTGATAGATAAGAGAGAGAGAGAGAGAGTGTGTGTGAATTAAATGGAAAATAAAAACCAAATCTCCTTAAATAAAATATTTTCATTGTCTTCAAGAAAAATATGGTCACATGACCAAAAGTAGGAAAATATTTTCCGTGAAAAAAATTGTCAATCAAACTACACTAAGGTAGGAAATTAGGTGGAAAAAACATATTTTCCATGAAAAATATTGGCAATCAAACGCACCCTAATTTCTTCTATCATTTTCTACTTTCTTTGTCAGGATTCTACCCCGTTAGATTTCTCTCTTAGTGCCTTCTCTACAGTTATTCGAACCTTTCTTAGACTTCCACTAATTTCATGAAAAATCCATATTTATAATGTGAATTTCCTTCACATAGAATGGACAAATATGGCCAAAACTACTCACAAGTGCACAATTGAAATATCCCTTGATATATATTGGGAAATTTGCATTTTTTCATCTCAAATTTTACGAAATTTAACAAATCTACCCTTTACCTTTTTTAGCATAATTTATTTCCAACCTTTCGATTATGTAGCAAAATTCGTCCTTCCTCCATTTTGACCATTAAATGATGGATCTGTCATTTTCTCTAAATAAACAAAAATAAAAGAAAGCATTAAAACAACAAGAATAAAGAAAATTTGCAACTTTTCAAATACTATGAATAAATTTTACTTAAAAAACGATTTAATACATATTAACACATTAAAAAAAAAAAAGAATTTTAAAAAATTTCATCTTCCACAACCAAGGTCACCTACCCTACCCCACTCCACCTATCCTAATCCACTCGACCTGCCGCCAATCGGCACCTCCGTGTTGGTGAGTTTTATTAATCAAAGTTTCTATTTGCCATAAAAAAATATGGAAATGCACATATCATTATGGGTGAAATACATAACAAAATATTTCTTTTTGAAAAGTCTTTATACCTAAATGCTTGGTCTACTATGTCCATATTTGTCGAACATAACTTAATATATGTTGTAATAATTGCATAAAATAGACAATTTCTTGCATTTATTGCAACATCAAATTAATTAAATTGCCGTCATTATAAAAGAAAAATGAAGCCAATCCATTATTATCCCATCCATTTTGTAATATATAAAGCTAGTGTTTGGCCACGAGTAGGGGTGGATTAGGATAGGTACGGTGGGGTGGGTGAGCTTGGTTGACAAAGATGATTTTTTTTTTATGTGTTAATATGTATTTAATTGTTTTTAGTGGGATTTATTTATATTTTTTGAAAAGGTATGAGACTCCATTTGCACTTTTTCCTTAATTTTTGTAATTTTTCTGCTTTCTTTTTCTTTTTATTTATTTATTTAAAGAGAGGGAAAATCCGTTATTAATTGGACAAAATGTAAGAAAGGATGAGTATTGCTACATAATTGAAAGGTTGGGGATTGATCAATTGGTACCGGGATTACTTAAATCTCTCAAGGTATAGGTCTTGGGTTCGAATTTAAATCCGTGAAATGTCAGTCAGACTTTCCCAGAATAGATAGTATATTCATATAATGGCTTGAGCAAAGATGCTAGTGTTGTTACAAAAAAATGAGCACTTTTTTGTAATGACTCGAGCTTCGCGCCTAAGTTGTTATATCATATGTACCGTCCTCTTTGTGAGAGACTTGCTCAATTGATATCAAAATTCAATTTGAATCTCTCACAAGATAGAGGTTTTGAGTTCAAATCTTGAGAGATACGAGGAGTGAGATAGGTTCGGGCTCTCCCAGAGTTGGGTCTTTTTTTGTAACAATTCGAGCCTCGCGCCTGAACCGTCATTATATGTACTATCCGCTCTAGGAGAGACTTGCCCAATTGGTACCAGGATTCAATTTAAATATTTCATGAGACAGAGACCTTAAGTTTGAATCATGAAGACGCGATAGAAAGTTATTAGGAGTGAGATGGGCTCAGGTTCTTTTAGAGCGGATCCAGATCGTTATAGTAAGTTCCCACACAAATCAATAGAACAAATCAAAAGAAAGTTGTACTTGTAGTAACCATTCATATTTAAAAATCCATATTAAAATAATGAACAAAATAAAAGACTTACTTTGGCCCCAAACATAATATAGGCCCTTGTTTGATACACATCATTTCAACCACACATTCTTTAATAAAATAATATTACACGCAAATTCAAAATTTTTCCTTATTTCCAACCACACATTCAAATCACTATTCCACAATGTATTTTTTGAAAAAATAGGCCTCAAACATGCTCTAGATCAATAAAGTAGCAAAAAATTAAGTTTTCACTTTAGTCATAATAACATAACAAATTGTAATATACTACTAGGAGTAGAAACATCCTAGAAGTCTCCATTATCATCACTGCAAATAGGATTTTTAATTGAATCATCAAAATATCAGATCCCACTATCATTGTCCTCATCAATGTCAATTTTGTTTGATTCTTTGACATCATTTTTCAATTGAAATGTGTGCCTTCTCTTTCCCCTCTGGGGGGGGAGGGGAGGGGGGGGGGACTCTTTAAGATTTTACACCAAAACATAAAATTAATCAAATGAACATAACAAAATTGTAATCTACTACTAGGAGTAGAAAAATCCTAGAAGTCTCCATTATCACGACTACAAATAGAATTTTTAATGAAATCATCAAAATATCATATTCTGCTTTATTGGCAATTTATTCTTATTCTTTGACATCATTCTTCACTTGCAATGGTACCTTCTCCTTCCCCTCCCAAAAAAGACAATATACTCATAAAATGTTCTAGGTTATAAAAGAAGAGCCTAAAAAGTTGAGGCTAGTTATATATAAGTCCAGAAAAGGCAAGACAAACGAGCACATATCTTATCACCTCAGAGACTTAGTCTTGAGGCGTAAGCCTCGAGGTATTTAACGAAAGCAGTGAGGCTCTCCCCGGGGTTGGGTGGGTAGGGGGGCATGCTCAAATTGAAATACATGCGGGTATGGCTAAAACATCTCTCTCTCTCTTAATTATTGGTGAGCACCTTGTGCGTCATGGTTTTTACCTTGGTGCCAGACACATTGTCAATCTTTCCAGTTACATATACTGATGAGAAGAAAAGAAGCAGACATTAAATTTTAAGGCCTTTGTATAAAGTCATTCTCTTTTATGTCCATTACATATTTGGCTTCAAACCTAGATCCCCAAATATTCCTGGTTTATATCTCTGGAAGATGATGGAGTGCAACCTGTATATCTATTACTCACGTCAGTTTCTTCAAATAGAGAGAAGTGGGTGGGGTTAGCCACTTACCATCTAATGGTAATTTAATAGTTGGAATATGCTTGCTTGTTTTTTGTTTTTCTATCTGCAAAATAGTTTATTAATCATGACATTATGAGCATGTCTATTTTGTTTTATATGGAAATTCGAGATTCTGCTTCCTTCTAAATTGAAAATGGGATTCTGTTCGGTTCAATAACGAATGTCCAACTTAATAGAAGAGATAGAAACCAGCTGTTTCTTTAAACCCATATATTATATTATGATTATTAAACTGGTGCTCAGTTACCTTCAGCATTTTCAAAGCTCATCATTATGATTTTGGGACTTTAGAGAGAAAATGAACCATTACTTAGAACATCAGTAGAGAAAGGAAAAAGAGAGAAGCGAGATGCATCATTGCTTAACTTCTGATCTGGTGAATATGGTAGAGCTATAAATTTCGGATTTGCTCACCAAATGATAGTGCAGAATCAATTATGTAAGTATGCAACCAATGAATGAAAAAGAAAACTTGGTGGTGGATATTTATTGATAGGCTAAGTAACTATGATAGAAATGAAATTTTGTTGTGGACTTGTTAGGGTTGTTGGAAGATTTGTTTGAATACATTGTGATGGAAAGAGAGCTGCTCTTCTTTATATATCTTTTTTGTTCCCTTCTTATGATATTTAAGTTTGAGAATTAATTCTGTCATCCAATGTTCTTATGAGGGAAAATATCATTTTTAGCTTATTTTTCGCATAAAGAATTTTCTTATAGTGTTATTTTTTTTAGTTACACTATTATGGGCATCACAGGATTTCTTCACAATGCCTTCCGGAAAGCGAAAGCGGGAAGACTTTCCTTCACAACAGAACCCTGGTGGATACATCCCACAGCAAGATGGAGCTGGAGATATATCGGATGATATGAAGGTAGATCTTTTTTCACTCAGAAGAATGATAATTCCTTAGTGAACTTGTAGGTAACAACCTACGAACCATTGACCAACATACTTGCTAATTCAGGATACTATCTAGATCTCTCGTCTTTCCCCTATAGATTCTGTCATTAAAAAGTTATTGTTTTAAGACATTATCTAAACATTTTGCTATAGATCACATATTTAACACTTTTATCTTATTGTGGTATAATTGAGGCTTAATAAAATGCCTTTTCTTGATCTTTTGGCAAATTAATGACATGTTACCTATATCCTAATTCAGGATAATTTCTAGATCGCTATCCATTCCTTTTAGATCTGGTCATTAAAAATACTGATTATTCAATATTATCATAACATTGTTCTATAGAGTATGTGCTTATTTTTTTATTTTTTCTTAAATGAAGCTCAATAAAACCCACCTCAATCTTTTGGAAAATTGATGTCATGTTCCTTTACCTTGTTCTGAGGCGGCCCTTCAAGTCTCAATTTTCTTCTTGCTTGCTTTAGTATTTGCTTTTGTTATGGTTTCTGGTTTGTTTTCAGATATTTTAAGTAAGATAAGATACTCTCTTTTGTGAATTTTAACTTTTCGAGGATGGTCAACCGGAAATGATTCAGGATACCTAGCATTGGAAATGACTGAAATTTTCACGCATCTGTGCTAGATTTTTTTGTGGATAAATCTTCTGTCTGCATTTTTTTTCCCCTGAATTTACCTACACCTTTGCAACCCGAAAGTATATTTTTTCAAATGTTTTGATTTTCTGTTTTTATTTAGTGCTTTCCTATGAAAAAAAGGAAGCTCCTATTGATTTCTAAGCAATGACTTCATGACAAATTGTCATTTACCTTTCTTCGTCCTTGAGGAGCAGCCAGACTATTAGACATTGATTAAATACATTGGTTTCTTAACACCTAGAGTTCCTAGTATTGTTGTTCATTCTGTCAAACACTATCCTGTCAAGGGGGA